AGGGGGTCAGGCTAGATGATCTGTTCAGGTCCCTCCTGACCCTAGCTACTATGAAACCATCCCCCATGGAACCTAGTTTAAAGCCCTCCTTACTAGTTTGGCCAGATGATGCCCAAAGATGCTGTTCTCCATTCTCATCAGATGAGATCCCATCTCTTGATAGCAGTCTTCCTCCCAAAAACATCTTCCTGTTGCCTTCACGTTGACACCTGTCTCAGCCACATGTTCATTTCCAAGATACGATGGTCTCTGCCTGGATCCCTGCCGTCCACAGGAAGCATCTGTGAGAACACCACTTGTGCTCCAGGCTCCTTAATCCTCCTGCCAAGAGCCTCATCGTCACCTCTGATCTGGTCAGTGTCAATCCTGGGAGGATAGTTGGAGCCTACATGGACAAGGAGGAAATGGTAGTGGTCTAAAGGATGGATGAATTTTGGCAGACTCTGTGACATCCTGAATTCAGGCTACAGGCAGGTAGCATACTTCCTGGAAAGAAAGAGTTTTCCACTGTCTGTAAATTTGGTTTCTGATATTAAAAAAAAAAACCTGACAAACTTAAATACTTTCAGGCTTTTATATGTTAATATTGATAACTGATTACCTGTTAACAGGGTTTGTTTGTTTGTTTGTTTGTTTTTTTACTTAAGTTGTAATTTATTATTCATAGGTCTGTTACTGTTATGTAATGGAAGTTGTTTTCATGAGTATATTTAAAAATTAAGGAAGAATTATGGTGAAAATATGTGAGCCTGTCTATAAGACAGAGTGTTCCTGGACTGGGAGGAAAAATCTTGGAAGTTGATGGATTGTCATTTTGTATACAAACACCAGGGGTAAACCCTTTGATTCAGATTGTCAAATACTTCATTGTAGAAACACCATTTTCCTGTAGGAAAAAACTTCCTGCGTATAAAAACATGTAGGTTTGAGTTCATAGTGTTACACAAAAACAGCAATATGGGCAGATATTGCAAAAGGCTGATCCAAATGTTTTAATTAGGATAGGCAGACATGGTTAAACATATTCTTTCACTTGGCATTGTAACTGAGGGGGAAAAAACTTGCTCTAGTCTCAGGATAAAAGCAAAGCTCCCAGTGTCTCTCAGATTTATATGAAAATGACTCTGAATTTGCCATACAGATGCCATACATACCATATGCCTGTGTATAAGATATGCATCTTGTTTTTGGAAGGTGGAATGAAGAGAAAAAAATCTTTCCTTGAAAATATGAGTAAGTACGGTATTTTCATAGTGAAAACACAGGCAGCTACAGTAGAGGGGAACAAAAGCCTGTGTCTGTTCTCCTAACCTAGCTCCAGGATGCGTGGCCACCCTGGCAGGCAGGCAGTTCAGCTCCAGTAGGATTGAGCCCTCAGCTGGTGCTGTTGGCTAAGCAGAACTGCCCGGCCTCTCTCCTCAAGCGGACTTGGCAGGTGTTGCTGTCTGCCCACCTCGCTCGAGGAGGGGCCCTAGCAGTTTGACTCCCACAGAAATTGCCCCTTTGCTCCCTATGTTTCCATGTTTAAGATGCTCAGCTCAATTTCCTGCAGCTAATTTGGGACGGGAGGAGCAGGGAGAGAGGTATGTGTTGTATGATATAGATTAAAATTAAGTTTTAATTTCTGTTTTATATGGCATCCCTGTAAATATTTTTCCTAGTTTTATACCAAAATTGACCCTGACTAAAGTTCAATTTTTCAACCTGTTTGTATTGAAATTAAGGTATTGATCCATAGCTTGTAATATGCTCCATATTGGTAGGCTTCCATTGAAATCAACAGGAATTGTCAAGATTTTGAGGAGTAAAGCCTATTTTTGATGGACAGGTAAAACTAACTTTTGTTTTTCCATCGTGCTAGTGGCAAAAAGCATGGTTGAGCAGACTGTGCCTGGAGTGGCAAATAATCACTGTTTTGTAAGTCTTAAAGAGAAGGTCATAAGTTGATACTGGCATTAGCTTCTTAGATTTGGTATTACTATATGTTTAGCTATGTAAGGGAATGGTTTTCACCAGTGGCCATTATGCTTGGTCTCTCTTAGGTGAGAGACTTTTTGGAAGTAGGAAATTTCCTGGACCCACAGTATTTATACCACATTAGCTCTCCACACACAAACTGTCCTTCCCCCTGCTGGCATGTGTATAAATGTGGAATCATTTCTAAGACTTGGCTTTCTCTAATTTGTTTTGACAGGGAAGAGTGGCCCCGAGTGCAAGCACTGCAGGGCAGATCCAGATAAGGAAT